ATCGAGGTCACAAATGATCCTACTTTCTCAACCCTTGATGGGCTGGTCACCCTAAGACCCCCACGGCCGAAACAACCATAAGGCTCCCAGGCTAGAGATGTCAGCTCCTCCGGCAAGAAAGCAAAGACCACCGTGGCTGCTCAACCGGCCAACTTAAAGGAATGCCGAAAGGCTATGGAAGAATATTTGGCCTCTCTCCGATGGATATGACCCTTTTTCTCTGAGTTCCACATGCTAGCCTTACGATTACCCTCGCCAAGCACGATAAATCCTCTCCCATTTTTATTCACTTTGCTCTTAATGTATCAAAGTACTTATATCACCTACTTTACTCCATGCCAACTGCCGCAAATCTGACTACTACTCCAATCATCCTTCCATCCGAACATGCCAAACCTACAACAGTCATAGGCACCAACCAACCCCTGCTATTGCCTCGATTCAAATCTCTCCATCCGAACAAGCCCTTGCTCGAGGTATTTTCCAAATTCCATTTGACTTAGTATTTTAGTACCATAACGTTAACATTAATGTCAGGGCTGAACATTCCAGGCAAGGCCATCAAACCAATTGATCTGCCAATGACCGACCGTGACACATGGGCAATGGTCGAGAGGCAAGCCCCGTCCGCTGGCGTTCACGTTCAGAGGCCAGCCCCCTGCCGAAATCCAAGATCGAATTCATCTTGAGGTATCCCCTTAGTTCCCTTTTCCACTTTATTTCTCTTCTTACTCATATGTCAATTTTCACTTCAAGTAATCAAAATCCCAGAGGATTGTTCGGGAACAGTCAACCAGCCGATGAACGACTGATAAATGAAGATTGTTGATTTAAAACAGGGAATTTATTATGAGTTTATTGAGTGAAGTGTGTATTATTGGACACGTTCAGATATAGATAAAAGAAGTGAAGTTGTACACCTTGAGTCAAATTATCAAAATTACTTATACTCTTTTTACTAGTTAGTTTCCAGGTTGAATAAAGGGATTTTAAGTCACAAAATTAAATCAAGAATTTATACAAGTAAGGCGCAATGGAAAAACAGTTAAGTTGGCTTGCTTGAGAGCAAGCCAAAGAGTTAAACTAGGACGGAATTACAATAAAGCGAGTAAAGGTGAGCGGGTGGTGAGATATTCAGCAAAGGCCGTGTGCGAGTGATGGATGCAGCGAGAGCGGTGGTGAGCAAAGGAAAACAGGTGGAAGGAAAGTGGACTATAAATATAAGATCGTCGGTAGGTGATTGATAAGGGGGACCAGGTAATGCTGTGTGTGATCTGTATATTCTTAGATGACTAGAATTTTATGGATGTAATGAGCAAACGAAGATAGTGAGTAAACGGAACATATATTTATAACACGTAGTGACAGAAGAAGTGAATGTAATTGCGCAAACATAAACTGAATTTGTTGGTACTTGACCTTAAGGGATTTACAACAAGACTTCAATGATGCCCAGAATCAAAACATTATAAGCAAGAAATACTACTGTAACTAGACATTTATGTGACCCAATAGACAAGCGCCTATGCCCCATTTATTACCCTATTATATGTATCATTAGTGGTTTACCCTTATGTTACCTCTCTTTAATCAAAATCGAATTCAAAATAGCAGCTAAGCAGGTCGACAAGGCTCCTGCGTACTTAACTACATTGTACTACCTAAATTCTGTTAATTAATACGATGCGAATCTAGACTTAGATGATTGATTCTTCTCTATTCTTTCTCAGCAAAATAGAATTCTAATCCTAACATTTTGACACAATATGAAGCATGAAGGTGGATATGAAGAAATCATGATATTTCATTGACTACTAAGAAAATAGTAAAGATCTACATTACAAAAGTAGTAACAAAATTGTAAGTCAAAATAAGTAAACTATTCTCGAAAGCAATTAGGTGAGCGGCCAAAAGAGGAGAAAATCTGAACTCCTCTGGCCAATCCTATCTCGAGAACTCTCTTATAGGGTTGGAGCTTTCGGAAAGCACTAAAATCTCCAGAAAGTAAGAACTGTAAGTAATGTATCTGATTTTTTTTACAAATGGAATATGTCCCTATTTATAGATCTATGGGATCGGCAGTTGCCGAGCGGTTGAGTGGCGGTTGAAACCGCTGGGCAGTTAGGCGGTTTGCAGTAGTTAATCTGTTGAAGCAGTTGCACCGGCCATAACTCTCTGGTTGTCGCTTCACTTGCTTCAAAATGTAAGGGCACCGATATTCCTCGCTTGCTTGGATGGTTGGATGGCATCAAAGCAGCTCAAGCGGTGCTATATTCGCTGACTAGTAGTAGAATGGCTTGACCGCTGAGAGATGAACACTTAGTTAATTTTTGGAGTTGTCCAATCTTAATTCTGTAGTGGCGGATGTCTGGTTGCTAGCACTTGTGCAAGCGGTAAGAGTGTCGCTTGCCAAACAGGAGCGCCGTCCCTTGACTTTCAACACTTAACTTTTCTGGGCTAGAAACATCGCTTAAAAAGGCCAAAAACGTTAACAATCTCAACAGACAGGCTCTGGATCATTCCAAGCGATGCAAATCAATAAAGTATGCCATCAATCAGATATTGTAATGGTTCACATAAAAATTCAAGTAATAAACAACTTTGTCAAGCAAAAAATATGTTGTTATCTGGTGTTATTAAATGTTCTCACACTAGACCTTTGTTCGTCCTCGAACAAACTCAATTGCGTGAATAAATAGTTAACCCGTTCAAGGCAATCAAGTATTGCATAAGATCGGTGCCATGGCTGTGAATAAAGTGAATCTCAAATATAAGCAATTGATCCTTAAGCATTCAAATTGTCAATCTGATTTAACATGAACGGAGTCACCCAGGTAGAATTAACTTTTCTCGTTTGGTGGAGACTCTTTTTTGGATAAGGGAACCTTCAACCGAAAGGTGTGATTTTTTTTTATAAATCATTATATTTTGCGATGGGCCATAGAATTTCAAACAAACATTGTGTATGCTCGTGACCTTATTTATTTTCATCGCACCTAGGCCTTTTCAGCCCCTTTAATAATAGGTCCTCCCCGCTTCGCTTACATCACTTCTCAAACCATATTTAAGGACTTCCCTTTTCAGTGTCGCCTCATTTGAGCGAATTCGATTGTCATAAGTTTTCTTGATCTTCTGAGTATGGAAAAATTGAAACAAATGGGGCACTAAAATTTTCAAGTTATATCAGTGGGTACTTGGTTTAACTCAATATTCATATTGTTGAATAAGGTAAAGGAAAAATTACTAAGTTCAGCGCTCGCAATTTGTCTAACTCTACAGTAGAACATATCATAAGTCTAACGCAGTGGTGTATTAAAAGAATTTCAAGTAATAACATATGCTTGCAATTATGATAGGCACACAATATTGAAAAGCTTGACTTGTTAACAAAAGTCCGTCGTGTCATTGATCATAAAAAATTTATGTACATACCTTTCCATTTCTTTCAAAATTTGTACATGACAGGGGAAGGGTCCTAGTTTACTTGTCGCTTCAGCCCGCGGATCCACGTCCTGTCTGAGGATGGTTGTTGACCAACTTCCGCACCAGTTCCTCTAGTCGTTGTTGGCTCCTCATTGAGTCAAGCTGTTATTTTTTTTATATCGCATTCTGCTGGGTGACAGCTGTGAGAGCCTTTAGTATATCGCTTTTTATGATCTCGAGTAATTGTAGTTTGGCACTCCAACCTTCCAACACGCGACTCTAGTGCGACAGTCATAGAGCTTTCAACAGCCAAGTGGTCAGCCAGATTTTTGACATGATTGTCGATTAGTGATTGCAACAGGACATATTGGCTAAGCAGCACCACATTGAGGTCATCCATTCGTCTTCAAAGGGGTAGAGGTGTTTGCCTCAGCGGGCGTTGATGACTGTCGCTCGGACGTGGAACTAATGTCCACCAGCTTTAGTTCTTCCTTCATGGAATCAGGTGCTGGCTCAGGGATGACTTCTTTTAAAAACACTAAGGATGTGTTCGTTTGGGAGAAATCCCCAAAATTTTACTATTCATCAATTTTTTTCCCTCTAAAAACATCAAATCAAACACCTATTTTTTATTTTTTTATATTATACTAAAAATTAATTTTATATTCAAAACATCACATCAACACCTATTTATATCACATCATACAACTATTGCATTTCAAATTTCTTACCATTCAAATCCCAACTCAAAATTCAATCCCCTAAAAAAAACACACCTTAACTGTCTCGCTGCCTCATACTCCCGTTCTGCTGCTTTCTTCGCTTCAAAGTGTTTTCTAAAGCACATATGGAGTTGTATCATTTTCCTCTTTTTATTTCGCTCGTGCTGCTACTTTTATTTTAAATTTTGCATTTTTGTGAGCAGCCGAGCTTGTCGCTCCTTGAATTGCCTTTCTTCTTTATCCTCCTCCTCATCGATAATGGCTTTTTCCGATTTAGCTGAGGAAGGAGTCGGAGCCTTTTTTGGTGTCGTTCTCTCTGTTGGTGTCTAGTGCCTGTATGGCAAGGGTTCTTCTTCAGCTGCCCCCAGAGTTGTTGGCTCTGTCGCTTTAGGAGACACCTACAAAATAGGCAGCGACATTATTACTGCCTCGACCCTGTCGGTTTCATCGGTAGATTCAACGGTTGTGGCAGCGGGGACCTCGACGGCTTGGTCTTTGAATGACTCCATAGTTATATCGATGTCACCGATGGTTTCTTCTGTGATTACAGTCTCCTGCTCCTCCTCAGTTCCAGCAGTAGTTGGCTTACCCACCTCCGACTGGTTGACAAGAGTAGGTTCATCGCTAGTTGGACTAACTTTGTGGAGTGGCGTCGCTTCGTGCGGTGGGCTTACTAGCAAGGTTCGCTCTGGCTGTGCAGTGGACTCTCGAATGGTGATCCTCTTTCTCAAACGAGAGAGCGACTCTTTCTCTTTCTCTTACACCGCTTTGCCCTTTCCTTTCTCCTTCTTTGTCAGCTTCCGAGAGGGGCTTTTGGATTTCTTTGTTGCCATCTTCACTCTTGGTTTTTTCAAGCTGGCTCCGGGGGGGGGGGTTTCATTTTCTCTTGGTCTTCTTCTTACCAGCGGCCTCCTCTGGGCCTTTTCCTTCCTCATCACTTTGGGCCTCCTCCTCGCCGAATTGTTTTCTTCGATCCTTAGCCTCCTGAGTAAAGAGAGAAGCGATCTCGTCTTCATCATTTGCATCAGCTTCCTTGGAGATTGCATTCTCGGAATCGAGTTCAGCGGCTGCTCTTTCCGGTTCAGCCCCAAATGCTAACTCCTCTGCTTCTTCACCCTCCACCGGCAAGCAGACAATCTCCTCCCCAACAACTTTCATTCTTTTCCTTGGTGGGGGGAGGAGCCTTCGCTTTCTTCTTCCTCTTTTTTTCTTTGGGGATTAGGCTAAACCCCTTCGACTCGAGCCATTTTTTGTGAAACCTTGTTGTCAACAACGGTTTCATTTTTAGCTCAGGGGCTGGATTGGGCAGATCGACTCCCCAAGGTTTGCATAGCTCTGTAATCAGGGTACCGTGACCCAGTGTTCTATCAATCTTCTTTGGTGCCCGGATGTCTATGCAGATTATGGCGCACCCATGTCGATATTAGCCTTTTTCTCTAAAATGGAGTGCAACGCTAACAAGTATTCGGGCTTAATGTCGGTTGTGTGAGAGATTATCATGACCCTGCTCAGTGACCATTTCTCCCATTTCTTCTTTTCGTCGCCCACCGACCCGAATTTCAGATTTCGCTTTTCATACTCTGGGTAGCGAAAAACATCTTGTATAATGACTGCATCTCCAGCAAACAACAGTGCTCTGCTGCGTTCAGTTTACCCTTCATCTTCTGGGATTAGTAGCAAAAGGGTCATCCCAGGACTCGGTTGATTCACCTCAACGAGCAACCACCCATTTGCCTTGAATGTAGATGTTATTGGGGCTCTCGGCTTGGCTCATGTTCGCTTAGAATTCCTTCACCAGCAATACATCTACTGGATCATTGGGATATTTAATCAACCAAGTTAGGTCCCGCTCTTTTATCCATTCAGCAAACCGGCCCGAAATTCTCTCTGCAGTGAATCCTCTCTAAGAGGATCCCCATCGCTTTCGTCACTTTATAGGCCGTTGCTGCCTCCACGTTCACAAAGTGAACTGAGTCATATTGCTTGGCTTCAAGCACAAATTTTGTAGCTTCAGTAGCATCCTTCCTTGATATCTTCTCGGAGCGGAAGACCTTCATCTTTTCTCCTACCGCTTGACAACCAAATTCCCTGTCAAGCTTTGTCCTGCTGAAATCCTTCAGCTCGTAGTCCAGCCACCAGTCGCTCACCGGATACTTCTGGTCAGTCTCGTCTATATACTCAAATTTCAGATAATCCTTTAGGAGCATTGGGATGAATTTTCTGAATTCTATGGATTTCAGCCTCCTCAGTTCGCTTAGCTCTCAACGAATTCCACACCTGAGCTTGCTACCACGACCTGTCTTTCGTCAGTTGAGAGTATTCTCTTAATCCTCCTCAAAATCTTCTTTTCAACCTTCACCATTTCTTCCTTCACACTTTGCTTACTCTTGTTTGAATATATTGTGATGGTTTACAAACAGCCTAGGGTTTTTCAGTACTTTCTTACGAACAAAGCACATACAGAATAATCTCAAACCTGCTATATCAGTTCAACGAATGGATAAAAAATTAATGAAACAGGTAGAAATATTCTAAATCTCGCTGATTTGAACCCTATTTCCTTCTCCTACAATGCAACAAAACACTTGAATGGGGATTTTATTGTGAAAAAGGGAGAAAATAATGAATATTGAAAAATTCATGTAAAAATGGAGGGTGGGTGAGTGCAGCCCAAACTAAATAGAAAGAAGCTAAATATTCTATCAATAAGCAACCAAACTTCCCTGATTGTGTGGGTGGGTGCAGCCCAAACTTTTTGAAATTTTTGGTGGTTATTTTGGTGGTGCCGATTAAACTTCCCGCAACTTCTCACACTTGAATTATTGTTCGCCCTTGAACAACCTTGGTTATGCTCGGGAGGGGCTGCAATCAAACCAAACAATATTTCAGAATAGCAATATTCATCATAGATATAATCAATCAAAACATGATGCTATGAAACTCCTTTGTCGACATTATGGAAACATCCTTATGGCTTAAAAAGTTTCAGAACATTCCTCTCCTCACACTTATTGTAAAATAACTGCTGAATCATCATGGAGAAAATCTGAAAATTTCAAATTATGTGCAGAATGTTATCGAATATTCCTACATAGAAAAACACAAGTTATTTGCTGCAACATGTCCATATCTAAAGTGTAGATTCGAAGCAACATTACTTCCCTTGAATTCGGCAATTGGAAGTGCACAATAAGATTTAAATGAGAAATCCTTGAATTAAAATATTTTTTCTTTCATAACAACATTTCTAGCCTCAATTATCGATTCTCAAAATCAAATAAATCCAAAACAGCCTGCAATCAGCCCTTGGAGGCTGTTCGTGCCTTGTCTAAATTTTCGATTAATCCTAAAATCATCATAAGAAATAAGCTCACAACTCATCTTACTCAAATCTCCTAGACACAATCCGCAATTCACCAATCATATGCCAACTATGTACACAAATTCGACAACTAATTCCAATCTAAACTAAATCCAAATTTCAGCATAATTTTAATCCTAATAAACATGAGCATGAGGACATAATCTAATTAAGGAACTAAAGGTACAATTGAATTCTAAAACAGCCTTACAAATTTTTAGAGTATTAGTATTATGTTCGAAATTAAGAAATTCGATGAAAATAGGCCAGAGAATGTGAAATTGAGTAATATAACCTATCTTTGATGCTTACCATCTATAGACAAGATGAATGATGGTGGAAAGCGGTTAGAATTGGTGGAGGTGGTGCTATCGATTTCATCGAACATCGGTTGGAGAATTTAGAGTGAAGGAGGAATTGGGGGAATTTACTGTGAAAGGATTAGGGCTGGACGAAATTGAAAGGAAATCGGGTGTGAAATTTGGATTAGAAAAATTTTAGGGAGGAAATAATTTAGTGAATGATGGTAGAATGAGAGAAGGAAAATGGAGAAGAAAAGAGGAATATATATATATATATTGATTTCCTTACTAGGAACTTATTCATGGAACAACGAATTGAATTTTGAGAATTCGAGAACTTTCTTTTACAAATGAATTTTTTTTGCCTAAATAGAGAAGGATAAATACACTGTCACTTCACTTGGGTAGGCTGATTTGAATGAATTTTGTTTGCCTAAATAGAGAAGAATAAATACACTGTCACTTCGCTTGGGTAGGCTGGTTTGCACCGCTTGACTTACAGCCGCTTCGCTGCACTTTCTAAAGATGAATGGTGAGCGGGTCACCGCTTGCCAGCTATTCACCCTCATTTTACAAGGACATACGCGGACTTGAACTTTAACTTTTACTATAAACGAACCGGTCGGTCCAAGTCCTGAATGAACAATAAAAATTATAACTATTATTATTTTATTATTATTATTTATATATATTATACTTTTTTATTATAAATAAAAAGGCAAAGAAAGAGATGAGCGGCTTAGGCAAAATTATTGTTTCTTATAGATATATTATTATTATTATTATTATTATTATTATTAGTAATAGAGATTATTATGTATTTACTATTTTATTGTTTATTATTATGTGATCATTATTATGATTATTTATATATATATATATATAAGAGAAAGAAAAATAGAACAGAGCAGCGGCAGAGGCAAAACGGTGCTGCAAGCCAAGGTTTTTATTTATATTTTTATTTTTTATTTTTTATTTTTAATTAGCCACAATGAATAATGTGCACTAATTGATTTATGTGTGTTAATTTATTTTAGTTTAAACTATTCATATTAATTTTAATTTATGTGTTTAATTTATATTGATTAATTTATTTTGTGTAATTTATGTCGAGTAAATTATTTTATATTATTATATTTATAATATTTAATTTATCTATTAACCGTAAAATATATTATTTTCTTGAGTCAATCGATTTTCATTGTACTTAATTTGATTTTGAGATCGAATCTATTTAATAATTGAAATTATTTTGAGTATAAATATAAATTAGGATTTTGATAAAGTAGGTTGATATCCCATTCGTTTCATTTGTCCACACTTAGTCTAATTTATAGAACTTTCGTCTATTTAGCTTCTCTTGTTTAGCGAAGAGGATGAATTAAGTTTACTTAAAAATGAGATTAACGAACAAATAGTGTGAGGAGGATGTCCATTATCTTTATATGCGACTTGACTTGGCACAAAAAAATCGACGCAAAAAATTCAAATTTAATTTATTATCCGTAGCAATGTCTACTGGGCCGCCTTTCTTTTTATATTATTGTACCATATAATTTATTACGGCAGTATATTTCAAACTTTGAGTCGTCGCATCATCTTTAGAAGCTACTCCGAATACTCAAGTTTGAAAATATTTCGGGAGACATAAGTTAGAATCTTTTTAGATGAGCAATAATGCATAAATGGCTTAAGGATCTGAACTTTAGCTAAGATTAGTTTACACACCACCATTGATATTGCCGAAAATATTGAGTCCTTGTTTGGAAAGTACTTGGATTAATATCACTAATTTAATTTATTCAGGGATGAACAAAAGTTAAGTGTGAAGAGTTTGATAACTCTTGATTATGTCATATCTTATAGCTTATTTTTACTTATTTAATTATTTATTTATGTCGAGTTTTGATATAATTTATGTTAATTTATTCCAATAATTTTATTTATTTTATCTGGTATGTAAAATATTAATTTATTATTTTTTAGGTGTAATTTATAATTATTTTAGTGTATAAATTAAATTAATTGATATGTTCTTTGAATTATGTTTTTAGGCATTATTTATGTGCTATTTAAGTATTTAATTTTGGCTAAATTAAAATTTTTTAGTAAGTATATCTATTTAAATAAATATTTATAAGATGTTTATTATTTATGCAGATGAAATAATCTTTGAAAACCGGTAAGAGTGTCCAAAATTGGCCTTAAAAAATGAAAAATTGCTTCAGGAACGAAAAACAGCCGTCAACACAAAAGTCAACAAAAGCCAACGGTCAACAGTCAACGCAAGCGGCGGCTGTGCGGAAATCCATGCATGGAAGTGAGCAGCGCAGAATTCCAGCATCGGCTGCTTTAATCTCTGCAAGCACGGGAAATAAGCGGCGGATGCACGGAAACTGGGAGCGGAGTAGAAATCTCTGCATGGAGGTGAATGAAACGACGGCTGTGCGGAAAACAAGCTGCGATTGCACGAAATTTGTGAGCGAAACAGAAATTTATGCATGAAATTTAACGAAGTGGTGCGGCTATCCGTAATTCTAGCGGCGGCTGCACGGACTTCAACGAGCATTAACAGGCAGCCGCCACATTTATCATCACCGAAAGCAAGCGAGACCGGAAATCAGCGAAGCGGCCGCATTTACTGTTCTACCAATCGTTACTCTGCACAGAATTTCGCTGCATTTACTACTCTGCACCTCAGCTCTTGCATACTCCTGCTTTCTCCCAACTGCCCTTATTATCATGCATTATTTCTTAGCCAATTTTTGGCTATTTTGTGTATATATATATTTTTTAATTATTCTAGAATTTTTTAGAAAATATATAGTTTTTAGTAAATTATAAGTAGCTATTTTTAGAGGTAGTTATTTATAGATGGTTGTAACTGCCAAGCTTCTAGAAGCTTCCTTCCCCTATATTTATCCCCTCTCATTGTATATTATACTTAACCATACACTATCCATCATTTCATACACTTTAATTTCTTTATTTCTTCTCCTCCATATTTTTATCTAGTTTCATAATATGAAATTTTTAGTTTTGTGTCGCGAGCAAACTGATTTTCTCCTCATTTTTTTTTTAAATTCCAGCATATTATTTTAGCTAATAATATTTCTATCATACTTCTCAATCTCATCTTCACCCAACATTTTCATGTTCTATTTGAATTGTTCAAGCTAGATTTTGACAAGGTTACGGAAGGGCGATAGAAGGGTTAACTGTCCATGTCTATGATCACGTCATATTTATTAACAGAGAGTAGGCGGTTCGTAGCAACTAAGTACGTGGGAGCCTTGTTGAACTGCTTAGTTGTCATTCTGAATTAAATTTTGATTAACTAAGGGTGAAGCCACTAATGAAACAAATTTCCAGAATAATTGATTAGACATAGCCACTTGTCCATCGGGTCTTAGAAATGTCTAATGACAATAGTTTTTCTTGTTTATAATGTTCTGAATCTGGGTGTAATTGAAGCCTTGTTGTAAATCCCTTAAGGTCAACTACCTGCGAGTCAAGAATTTAGTTTAAATGAATAAGTATGACCAAAATTTGATCGAAAAATTTTGGAGAGTTTTTAAAATATCTTTTAAGATACAAAAAAAAAAGATATATGTATAAAATGAAAATAGTGTCGTGCGTGTTCGTATAGTAACTCCAAAATTCATCGTCAAAAATAAAAAAATCTCTTTATCCGGTGAGTGTCCGGGTCGAATTCAGGGAATATGCAAATATCCTATATTTAATTAGAAAAAGTGCAATGAGTTAATGTAATCGAAGAAACTGAAAAGATTAATTGCAAAAATTAAATCTAATTAAAAAGCGATAAAATATACGTATCTCGAAAAGGATGAAGCGAGGCGTTTGTGTCTGACTTTTGCGTTCCTTAATGACTAGATTTCCATGGATGAAATGAGCGGGATGACGATGGCGTGATAGCGAAAAATATATGTATAATTGCGGGGCGGCTCGGACGAATGAACGTGATCACATTTGCTAGCTTAAGTTGATTATCGACTCGGTTGGTACTCGACCTTAGGGGATTTACAACGAGGCTTCAGCGACACCCGGCGAAGAACATTATAAGCAAGAAACTCTACTATCACTAGAGATTTCTGTGACCCAATACACCACCGCCTATGCCCCATGAATTATTCTTCCAACCGTTCCGCTAGTGGCTCTACCCCTCTGATACCTCTCTTTAATCGGAATCGAATTCAGAACAGCAACTAAGCAGGTCGACAAGGCTCCCACGTACTTAGCTATGTTGAACTACCCAGAATCTACTTTTGGCACGAAACAGGGCTGAAATAGTCGATTCTTCTATCGCCCTTCCGCAACCTTTTCGAAATCCAACTTGAACAATTCAAATCGAACATGGAATTTTTGGGTGAAGGTGAGGTGGAGAAATATGATAGGAATTTTACTAGCTAAAATAATATGCATGAATTAAAAGAAAAAGGGGAGAAAATCGGTTTGCTCGCGCCACAAAACCGAAATCTCGTATTATTAAACTAGATAAAAATATGGGAGAAAAGAAATGGAGAAAAATGAAGTGTATGGAATGCATATTATTGTGTATATATGGTGTATCATATATATGTATAGTAGAATTAGTGGGGATATTTATAGGGAAAAAGATTCTAGAAGCTTCGCGGTTACAACTGCCCATAAATAACTACTTCTAAAAATAACTACTAACTACATCTAAAAATAACCATAAATAACTACCTATAAAAATAGCTACTAGTATAACTACTAATAACTACCTATTTTCTAGAAGGTTCTAGAATAAAAATTAAACAAAAATAGCCAAAGATTGACTAAAAAGTAGTGCAGGAATTTAATATAGGTGCTGGGAGAGTGCAGAAAAAAATGCAAGGCTTGAATAAATGCAGGAGCTGGGGGTGCAGAGCAGTAAATACAGGCAATGATTGCAGCAAAAATTAATGCAGCCGCCGCTCATGGAATCCGCGCCAGCCGACGCTCAAATTCCGCACCAGCCGCCGCTTCGCTCACTTCCACGCATGGCCTTCCGCTCCGCTCACATTTCTGTGCCAGCCGCCATCGTTTCGCTCACTTCAACGCCAAAGTCTTCGTGCAGCCGTCCCCTGTTTCCGTGCAGCCGTCGTCGCCTCGCTCACTTCAACGCCAAAGTTTCCGTGCATCCGTCATCGCTTCGCTCACTTCAACGCCAAAGTTTCTGTGCA